TAGAGTATACGCTAGGCCCCGCTTGGCCACAACCTTAAACGGTCTATTAAACCGTAGACGAAGCTTCATTCAGAAGATAGCAGAGGCTGCATGTGTAGGCAGGCTTTTAGGATTTAATAAAAGCAGGTCCCCGACCTTGAAGCTTTCCACTTTGCCCCTTCCTTTTTCATCTGCATATTCTTTTTGCAGGTTTTGGCTTTCAGCCATCGCATCGCGAACGTGTCATAGGAAACTCAGTCTGGTAGATACGAAGCCATCGACTTCTTTACGGATGGGGAGGGAGCTGACATCAGCTAGCCGTTCGGCTATTCCTCCCCCACCAAGTCCTGAGCCATGGGATGGCGGCGTCAGCTGGACGCGAGTGTGAATCAGCCCGTTCACATAGAACGGCGTGTAGCCCGTAGAAAAATGCACTGCATTGTTCAGTGCAAACTCTACGCTTGGGAACATGACGCTCCAGCGCCTCGGCGTCTCAGCGCAGACGCTGAGAAGAACGTCTTCAATGACGCGATTCACCCTTTCGGTTTGACCATCAGTCTGCAGATGATCCGCTGTCGACATATCTAACTTGGTGCCGAGCACCTTGAAGATAGTCGACCAGACTTTCTCCGTGAAACGGGGGTCTCTATTAGAGAAATTCGACTCTGGGAGCCCGTTTTGACGAAAAACACGATCCACGAACAGCATTGCTGTACCGACTACGTCGATGGTGTCTGGCACCGCCGCCAAATGAGCCATCTTGCTCAACCGGTCGACGTATACTACGACACCCGTGTTGCTCGCCGAATCTTTCGGCAGGCCAAACACAAAGTCCAAACTCATGGACTGCCAGCACCCAATGGGTACCGGTAAGCTGGTTAGCGGCGCAGCCGTATTTGGAGCGGGTTCCACTCGTTGACACGTCTCACACGTGCGCACATAGGTGCTCGTACATTTGTACAACTTGGTCCACCAATAGTGGTGACTCACAGAGTTGTACGTCTTCCCACGACCGAGATGACCACTGAGTGGTGTATCGTGAGCCTCATAGAGGATGCGATATTT